CAGTCCCCGGCACCCTCCCCAAAGCTGGCAAGGTGGGGCTCAGCTCTGCCCAGCACATGCCACCTGGCCGGGTGCTGCCAGGCTCACCTTCTCGGGAAGCGCTTTGTACTCCCCGATGCAGATGATGGGAAGGGTTTTCCTGCTCTCCTCCCTTACTGCCTCTGCTTACAGGTAAACTGCAAGAACGTAGCTTAGTGGGAGAGCACTTGATTTGCTTGTAAGAAGCCATGGTTCAACCCCCAGCATCTCCAGCTTTTGCATCCCCACAGAGGATGGGTCTGCGGCAGTGGAGCTGTCAGAGCCCCCGAAAACTCCTAGAAAAGCTTTGGTGCTGCCTGTGGGCATGGCTGGCCTGGCGCTACTTCCCCGCAACTGCCATTCCCAACACCTGCATCCAGCGGGGAATGCCTGCGACCCTTTCACTCCCCTACCCAGGTGCTGCAGGATGTCACAAGAAGGCACCTTGTGTCCCTTCTCCACAGGGCTTGGAGTGTCTCTTTGGGTGAATTTTGGTGGACGAGGGAGCAGTTTTTTTTTTGAGGAGCTGGATTGGATGAGAGTGGTGGGTGCCCAAAAGGAGGGCTCGTCCGGGAGTTGAACCCGGGACCTCTCGCACCCTAAGCGAGAATCATACCCCTAGACCAACGAGCCGGGGTGCACACCTGCTCAGGCACCCCCAGCATGTGCCGCGCACTGGGCTGCTGCAGGGGCACTGCTGCCCAGGGACCCTGGTGCCCCAGGAGACACTTTCTGGGGACATGTCCTGCCGCCAACCCCTGGGGAGCAGAGCAGGGCTGAGGGTGTGTGCAGGGATGCACTGCACATCCCAGAGACATTCCCACTTCCCAGGAAAAGATGGCACTGAGAGGGGACCAGGAGGTGCCCAGGGCAGGGGGCAGATGTGTCCCTGGGGTGCCCGTGGCTGGGGCTGTGATGGCCAAGGGGTGAAGGCGTTGGACTCCAAATCCAATTGGGTTTCCCTGTGCATGTTCCAATGCTGCCCACAGCGAGAGCTTTTACCCACTGCCCACACTGGGGTTCCTGGAGAGCAGCTGTCCCCACCATTGCAGATGCTGGTGCTGCTGTTGCTGTGCCTTCAACTGGAGCAAACTGTCCTATGTAGTAGCCACGGCATGCTGCTGGGTGCAGCCAATGTCTTTCTTGGTGTGGCATCACCTTCTCCTAGCAATTAATTGGCGCTGGTCATTAATCAGTGTTGAAATCTGTCCCTGGAAAGCACATATCACCCTTGTGCCCAGAGCTGCTCCAGATGCTGAAGGGTTAGTAGCACATTGTCTATCCAAGACCCTTTCTGTCTCCTGGCTGCAGATCGATGCAGTTAATGAGAAACCCCGGCTTGAGGAAGAGGCAACGGGTTAGGAGCTGAGAGGCTGTGTCCTAACCACAGTGGGACAGGAAAGGGCGGGCTAACCCACAGGACGCGAGCAGCTGAGCGTGGGGCCGTGGGGTGCAGGCAGACCCTGGGACCATGGCCAAGCTGGTGGAGTGCGTCCCCAACTTCTCTGAGGGGAATAACAAAGAGGTGAGGGAGCGCGCGGAGAGGCTGAGAGGTGAGCGATGCCGGGGTGCTGACTTTTTTTGGGCTGGGGGGCGGCCCCCCCCTGCCAGACTCTGCCCTGACTCCTTTGAAGTGCTGTGAACCCTTCCTTGCCTGGCTAATGTCAAAATTCCCCAAAGGCAGTCCCTGCTCCCTTTTGGCACCTCGGTGAGAAGTGGGGGCTCAGACCCCTCCTCCCCACTGCCCGCAGGTTACTGTAGCACCAGGGCTTGGTGTAGTCTCGCATGCACCCTTAGAGAAATACAACTTGCAGTCGTGCCAAAACTCTCTGTCCAGGTTAATTGGATCTGTGCTGGGCATCGGCTCCAGGTTGAACTTTGGCTCTGCCAGGGGCAGGAGAGTTCAGCAAACTCAAAATTGCAGTAAACCCATTGTTTCCCCCAGGAAACACTTTGCGGAGCTAAATCTGTTTTGAAGCTGTCAGGAGACAGTATCCTCAGGAACAGTAATTTATGATGGTGCTCTCTGATGTGCAGCAGTAGCTGGGCATCTCTTCTCCACCATGGCATGTTTGGGGCTCGCTGGGAGTGAAGCATGTCCCAGATCCCCTGGGTAGGAGTAGGATGCTTGTGTCTTTGGATCCTGCATCCTCTGCAGTGCAGAGTTGCATCCCCACTGATAGTATGGTCATCCCCAACCCCAGTACCAGTGGGAAGGGGGAGAGCTGAGAAAAGGTGTCCCCCACCTAGCAAAGCTGGGGCTGTGGCAAGGGTCCGGCCAGCTCAGCCGCCCTGTCCCACTCCACTGTCCGGTAGGTGATCGATGCACTGGGGCAGGCCATCTCCCGGACACCGGGCTGCGTGCTGCTAGACGTGGATGCTGGTGCCTCTACCAACCGCACCGTCTACACCTTTGTGGGGTCCCCTGAGGCTGTCGTGGAAGGGGCGCTGAATGCAGCCCGAGTGGCTGCACAGCTCATTGACATGAGCCGGCACACAGGTGAGCTTGGGGATGTCGCAGGAGCCGACCTGGTGGGGAGCTTCCCTCAGCTGTGCTGGAAAGTTGGCTCCAGGTGCACCTTGCATGACTGGAGCTAAAATCAGCTGCTAGTTGCCAAGCACAGCATGTTACTGCACGGCCAGCAAGCAGCACTGTCGGGGTGGGTGATGGTGGGACCATGCAAAGCTCTTGCTCATCCTCCTGATCCATGGAGGCTGAATTCCTCCTGTTCCTGGGCTGGAGGAGACTTTATTGCTACAATGCATCTCCCCTTGTGGCAGCAGTGCTCATTCTGCAAAATAGACTGGGCAAGGACCCTTGTCTCTCCTTCCCCAATGGCTCTTCTCAGCTGCCATCCTTATATCTGCCCCGCTTCCAGGCGAACACCCTCGCATGGGGGCCCTGGACGTCTGCCCCTTCGTGCCCGTGATGAACGGCAGCATGGAGGAGTGTGTCACCTGTGCCCACATCTTTGGGCAGCGCTTAGCAGTGGAGCTGGGGGTGCCTGGTGAGTGGGGGCCAGGAACCTCTGCCCATCCCGTCCCACTCCACCCACATGCTTCCAGCTGTGCAGAAACTACACACCTTTAGCAAAAGCTTGACAAAATGGGGTTTGCTTCCAAATGGGGAAAATCGGACCCTGCTAGATGATGTGCTCCCAGGCCCTGCCCAGCGGTGCTCACCCCTGGCTCGTCTTGCAGTTTACCTGTACGCAGAGGCAGCGAGGGAGGAGAGCAGGAAAACCCTGCCTGCCATCCGCACTGGGGAGTATGAGGCTCTCCCTGAGAAGGTGAGCCTGGCAGCACCCGGCTAGGTGGCACGGGCTGGGCAGAGCTGAGCCACACCTTGCCAGCTTTGGGGAGGGTGCAAGGGGCTGGCATAGTCCCTTTGCACAGAGAGGAGCTGATGAAACGCTTTGGGTGTTGCTGAACAGGGAGGTGGTGGTGGTAGATGCTGGCTGGGGAGGGGGATGCTGTCCCCAGGAGGGTGGCTTGTGCTGCCCAGTGGTGCCAGCCCACACCCTCTCTTCCCTCCTCCGCAGCTTGCAAAACCAGAGTGGGCTCCTGATTTTGGGCCCCCAACCTTTGTCCCCCGATGGGGGGCCACGGTGACAGGTGCCCGGACCTTCCTCATCGCATACAATGTCAACCTGCTGTGCACCAAGGAGCTGGCTC